TCTCGCCGACCCCCATCCCAACTCCCGCCACTTCCCCACCCTCCATTCGTGCCGGTCTGCGGGAGTGGGGGGCTCCGGGGCTCCTCTGGGCAGCGGGGGGCTCGGGGAGCACCGACCCCGGGGTGGGGGACGACGGGGACCCCGTCGGAGGCGGCTCCCACGCGTTCAAGTGCCCTGGTGTCCTCTAGCAGGTGGCAGCGGGACTGCGCACACCCGTGGAAGTGTTTGGGTTTTCCCCCCTAAAACCCGTGGATTGAGGTTGTATTTGGTGCCAAAGTGCCCGTTTTGGCCTCTCTCACTGTCAGTATCTACTTTTTTGTTTTTCTTTTGTCCCCATCTGCAGACTTGGTGTGTGTGGATTTGACACAAGAAGAATGCAGGCAAAATTTTCTTGCAGAGCTATTTTCTGCCTGTCGTGACATTCCTCTTTTTTATGGTTTTGCCAGCCGTGCAACGGTCAGTGGAGAAGAACAAGCCTTTGCGTCATTTTCTTTTAATTAATGTTTCTTTGCCTTTTTTTTTTTTTTTGGCTAAGTGGTTATTAACTCGGGTGTAATTGCTTCATTGATAAATGACAGCGTAAAAGCTTGGGGCAGTAGGGGATGCAAAGGCATGCAAAAGTGATGAGTAGCCCAGCTTGGTTTTAGGGCAGCGTTGTTGCAAAGTAAAGCTGAGAGTTTTTCTGGAGTGCCTGAAACCAAAGGCTGAGCTGGTGCTGCCCTGGTTAAGGGGAAACATTTTTGCCCTTTAAGAAAGCCCTACTGGGAAACTGGGTCACTGCAGGGCATCTTTACAACTAAACTTGTGGTTGATAAATCCGCACTGATTACGGCTGGTGGAAACAGTGAAAGTTTGGAAGGCATCGGTTCATAGCCCTCAAGAGTGGCTGTGAAGAAAGGGAGGAAAGGTTTTAAAATTACTGACAACTTTTCCAAGGTTTTATAGTCATAAACTAATACAATATATAACATCTCAGTGTTTGATACTTCCAAAAAAATCTGATGTATTGTTCACATGTTGGCCAGGCACTCCCTTTGCACTGGAGTCTGAGTGTATTTTGGTCTGAAAGGTTTGTTTAAAAGGAAAAGAAAGTTTGTTAATCAAATCACTAATGGAGATTAACGTTATCATATCAGGGATTAATATTCTCATGAATGCCAATATCAGAACACCTTTAACCCACCACCGGTATGTACAAAGGGCTAAAAGAGATCATGATACCAAAAAAAGAGGTAACACATGCAGCCCTTAAGCATCGCTATTGCAGGATGCTTCCTGTGGATGGAGAAGTAGCATTCTCCAGGCTTTCTTTTGCCTCAGCCCCATGGTGGCAGAGGGCTTTGCTCGTTTCTCAGGAGGGATGGGAGGGCTGGCTGGCCTCCATTGGTGTCAGTCACACTATGGCTTAGCTGAGGTTGTGGTTTCCAGGCTTGGGCAAGGAGCTGTGGTCTGTGTGCAGGCAGGCAGGGAGCAATCACCAGTGCGTAACATTTTGGATGCACCGAATCTATTGTTTTGCTGCTCCTTTAGTTCTGGGTTAATCTGTTTTCAGAGTGAGAAAATGAAGTTACAAAGCGTGCAGAACTGGGAATGTTTAAAATTCCAAAAAGGAGAAGAAACACGACAGCAAACACCTTGCCACCCCTTCCTCCAAACTCTCTCAAGGTCTGGGAAACCTTGTGCGTTGGGTAACACGTTCCACTTGCCCGAGAAATCAGCACAGTGAAACAGCCGTCAGAGCAGTAACTCATTTTGGACAGAAGTGAGACTGAAATGCACATCTGGAAGGGTTATCCCATCCTCCTGACCAGACTGTTCATCAGTAGTGAATGGTTCTTGGCTTCACTGTTTCTTAGTAACATCTCAAATGCTGTGGGGCCAGATCATGGTATCCAGGCACAATGCAAATGAAAGGCTGGATCCAGAGTACTGTATCCCCCATGGCAAAGGCCAGGTGAGCTGGGATGGGGCAGAGAGGCAGCCACCAGAGCCAGAGATGCTTTCAGTAGCTGGCCTAGCCCAGACTGCCCTCCTCGTGGCTACGGGCTCTGCTGGGAACCTGTCACCTCCTGATGGTGAGTGGGTACATCCCCTTTTCACCCTAACCCTTCTCCAGTGCAGGAGCATACTTTGGGGCTGCAGTGCTCAGAAGGATTTGGGTGTGAGCAGGA